AATGCACTGTGCTTAAAAGCAAAAAAAAAAAAAAAAGGAAATTTTTTTTTTCTGACGATTCAATACTTCACAAAGTCTCTTACACCCGTTGCTACGGTAAAGCGATTGATATTTTATTATCTTTCAGAAGTGCAACATGAAAGCCCTGCAGCACAGCAGAGTGAGAGCTTTGGTCCTCGGCAGCTGGCAGGCCTGACTTCAACCAGAGAAACCCCAGCCTCTTCCAATAAGATGCTCCCAGGTGGGGGAAAGAAGGAGTTGGGGTGGTTAATAGAAGCCCTGAATCCTTGCTGAAGCCAGACAAAGGGCAATATGCCACAGCCCTGAGAAGCACACCCCTTGGGGATCTTAGGGGCCAATGGTGCCACCCAGCCTGGGTGACCACCTGCTGGGAGGGTATAAGTGCTCAGGAAGAAGTTGGAGCAGAGGGTTTGGAGGAGCAGGTGAGTGGACTCAGAGCATTTCTCATTTCCCAAACTGAAGGTACCGCCAGACTCTGACGGGGAGTGGAGGGTGAATTTATGAGCAGAAGGGCTGCTTCTGGAGGGCAGCTCCAGGCTGGGTAAGGCAAAAATCAGATGGCTATTTAAGGCTCCGTTCACCTTCTTTCCTTGTGCTCTAATGGGGCCCGATGCTCAGTGCTGTCAACATAGCGGGCACCACATTATTTAGACAGGATGGAGAAAAGGAAACAAATATGTCCAGGGTGATTGAGAGGCACTACAGCCTAAAGGTAGGAGACTGGCTGAAATGACCTCCAGAAATCCATTCCCATTCAGGGCTCATCTGAAAACAATTGGCGTAGAACCTGAGGCCCTCTAGAGTGCCTGGACAGAGAGCTGGCTCTAAGACTCTTCCGAGTCACTGTGTCAGGATGATATGAATCCTTCTGCCTGGGTCTCCTGTGTAAAGGGAGCTAAGCATGCCAAATGTTGGAAAGACATACCCTGGTTTCCACATGCTCCTCAGAGCGACACACCCCAGGTGCGAGGCAATCCCTCTGCACTGGCTTCTCCAGTGGAAGTGAAGTCCTGAGATGGCATGACTGGTCCGAGATAGCGCAAGAAGTTAGTGGCTAAAGGAGCTGAATCAAGGCCTCCTCCCTCCCTGTCTGGTCTGACCTCAGACTCCTTCTCCTTTGTACTCTACATAGAACCACATCATCCCTATCCTCTAATAACTTATTACCACCTGAGAGGCAGAGCCCAACACTGGCTCCAGGGGAAGGGTCCAGGAACAGAGAAGAACATATTGAAGATGGTGGTCACACTCTAGACAGACTAAAAAACAAAAACAAAAACAAAAACCCAAACTCACTGTCATCCAGTTTATTCTGACTCACAGCAACCCCCATTGGCTTTCTGAGGTGATAATAGTGACCCCATTGGGTTTCCAAGGCAGTAAATCTTTATGGGAGTAGATTGCCCCCATCTTCCTTCTGGAGTGGCTGGTTTGAACCGCCAGCCTTCTGGTTAGCAGTCAAATGCCTTAGGCACTGCACCACCAGAGTTCCTTCTAGCCGGGACAACAGCAGGCAAAAGGATTCTTTTGGCCAGAAGTATCTAGTTCCCCTTTCTTTCTTCTTATATGCTGATAAATGGCCTCCAGGGGCTTACCAGTCACAGGACTCCCCCCTATTTCACCTCCAGGCCAGATAGTTTAAATGGCCCCTCCCTGCTGGATGTCTAAGAAGGTTGTAGGTAGGCTGGGGGCACTAGCACATGGTGACCACAAAATGAACATACTGTATGACCTTGAACAAGTCACTTCCAGTTTTCACCAAGTGACCATGTCCATGACACCAAGGACTCTGCAGGCAGAGGGCACAGGCCCAGCAGAAACTCATGAGTAGAAGGTCAGAGGATGGCCACCACAGTCACCCAAGAAAACTGTCGCTGACTCATATCAAACACACCCTTTCAGTTCCGTCATCAGCGCAAGTACCAACAATTACACACAGACCTTCCTAGAATACCAAGAAAGAACAAAAACCACACACCTCTCACCTACAGGGCAGGAGAGTTTGGGATGGCCAGGGAACGGCCACTCTCCTGACCCTGGGGCCTGAGCTTAGGTCCCAGGGCACCTACTGGCTCTTAGCCCTCAAGGGGGTTTGAATGCTCTGCCTCTCCTGAGTGTTTCAGGACAATCACCACAGGGCATCCTCACCCCAGGAAGGCGGTAGGGGTCTGTGGGACCACCTGATAGTGGCTTCCAGCAGCCATGGCTCCTCTGTTCTGATCTCTCTGCCCTTCGGTCCCCTGGAGTGCACTGAGGTCCTGGACCACAGCAGGTCCATGCTACTCCCCTGAGCCCCCTCTACTAGTAGGTGGTGGGACACTTTCCTCCTCTGGACCAAACTCCTGCCTCCGCGCTGAGGAAGCCTGGGAGACAGTGGGCCAGGAAGTGGCTCTCCTTCTCACCGAATCACGCTTCTGGGCAGCTGTCCCCCCCTGGTGGCCCACGCGGCCTTTCCTTAGTCTCCCAGGCATCTGGGGGCGAGCGCTGTCCTTCCACGCGCCCGCTCGTCCCAAGATCTGGAGTCCAGTTCTCCCTGAAGCTGCTGATTTGCTCTGCGCTCAGCGCCTCTCGGGTTACGCGGCCAGCGTGAGGGTGATGGCTGCGGTGAGAGGAGCAGCCGCAAAGATGACACTCTCAAAGCGAACCGCCTCGGCTTGAGATCAGGGGGAGCCCGAGAGTCTTCACGCGGCTCCGCTGAGCACCTCGCGGGCCGGCGCACACATCGCCCGCCCGCGACCGGGCGCCAGGGAGACGCGCAGCCCCAGGCTCACCTACACCGCCCCTCTACCCCCCTCCCCCGTCCTGCCGGGTCCCCTGGTCCCAGCCCGATGCGCGCCGCCAACCCGGCAATCCGGCCACAGCCCGATCTGTGTGCACCTTCGCCCAGCGTGTGTGTTTCTGCGCTCCGCGGCTGGGGGCGAGGGGGTAGAGGCGTTGAGACCCCCGCCCGCCACCTACCGTCCTCCTTGTCCAGCACCATCATCTCGGGCGCTCCGTGTCCAGCCGCAGCTCGGTTCGGCCGGTAGAAGGGCGCCGACTCCGGGCGCGCTTCGCCGGGGCGGCTGGTCCTCTGGCAGCGAGCGGGCTCTAATTACCCGCTTGTCCGGCTCTTAACCTAGATTGCACTCAGCTAGAATTACATTCAGTAGTGAAGCACTTCGCAGATACAAAAGCAGTCTCACCTACTTTTGTGCCTCAGAATTGCAAGGAACTACGAACTGCAATTTAGAGAGAGAGAGGAAGAGAGAGAGAGAGAAGGGGGAAAAGAGGATCACAGCCGTTTCTTTGATTCTCACCTTCTAAATGGCTCAATTTGCCCAGTATAATCTGTCTTAATGTAATTGCATTTGATAGCTCATAACCCTGGCTCTGGCAAACGACACAGCTTTCAGCCTCATAAAGTGTTTTCCCCTCGGATTTAATCTGAATCTCAATCTAAAATTATATTCAAAGAGATGGGGGAATCTCGGCGGCCGTCTCCCGCTGCCTTTCTCCCTCAATGTATGAGGTTTGCACTCCTGCTACTGAATAAATGCACACATTTCCGAGCCCCCCCCCCTTCTCCTGGGTTAATGGGGAGTGGAGACTCGCGGCTATGTCCAGCTCCGCACCGCCACCTGGAGGTCGCTCTGTTCCCGCTGGCCGCGTTCTGGTCCTGGGGTCCGGATCTTGGATGTTTGGTGAATGAGCCAAGTCTGCTACTCCTCAGCCCTGCTTTCCACACAACCTCCCTCCGGGCTGTCTTTCTCTGGCCTCGTTCTCTCCCTTCCTACCTGTTCTGCTGGGGTTTCTGGCTGCTTCCTGGATTGTGCAGCAAAGCTAAGCCTCTGCAGGGCACAACACCCCCACTCCACTCCACATTCTTACAGCACTACTCCTGACCCTAGCAGCCCTTCAAGAGTATCCTGCTGCCATGGACAGAGGGAATTTGAGGAGGCGGCCCCCACTGCACGGCCTTGGAAGCTTTCCTCATTCCACAAATATACACTGAGTCTGTATAATGTGCCAAGCACTAGCACTGTTCTAGGCACCTGGGATACAGCAAAGAACAAAGCAAATACTCCTGCTGCTATTACAGTTGACAATTCTTCCTCTGTAATTCTGGAGGCTGGAAGGGCAACAGTGTTCACCTCCTTCACTTTTGGAACCTGCTCCTCCCAGGAGCCCTGGTGCTGGTTGCCTGACTGCCTACTCCAGGAAGGCCACCCACTTTCAAATCCCAAGAGCTTTTTTTCCTTGACAGTACAGAGTGCCAGGATGGGATGGAAATCTTAATGACTTTCTCCAGCATAAGGAGGGTTCCAGACATCTGTTTTGGAGGCTCAGTCCTAGCAGTCACTTCTGAGGACTAGACCCAGGCAAGGAGGAGGAAGCTGGAATTCCTGGAGGGGTGCAGGGCCACTAGTTGGGAATCTCATCTCTGCCAGTCATCAACAATAGTCCTTGGCAAGCCACTTGCTCTTGCTGGGCCTCAGTTTCCCTGTCTGTGAAGTGGGAGATCTCTGCCTGTCCCCAGCCAAGGTTGCTGTGAGGATCAGAGGAGATAATGCATGTGAACATGCTTTGTAAACTGTGGTGCCCTGGACAATGGGGGGATTATTGGGTACAAAGGAGACCTGGAGGCTGGGCCTTGCCCCTTAAGCCCTAGGAGGCCCCAGTGCAGGGTGTGCTTATGGGGGGGGGGGGCACTGCAGCCCAGCCTACCCTCTCCTAGGCAGGGAAGCCAAGCTTTGAGAAAACAGAAGAGATGCTGCTTCTAATGAAATGCCTCATCCACAGCTCAGAGGGTTTTGCTTTCCCCTTCATCCTGAATACTTAATCCTAATAGTCCTTGAGTACATTTGATGTTAAATATATCATTTTGCACAGACTCGCCATCCCTCAGGACTGCGGGTTTGATCTCTCCCTTGCCACTGCAGTCAGAGTTATACCCTGAGGGTCTAAGGGAGGCTTTGGCACTGCCATCTAGGCCACCACTTCCACTGGCACATTTAATGCTAGCCCCTCACCCTAGCCTGCTGGGGGCAGACAGCACAGGAAGCACCTGATGGGCTGGCAAGGGGTATCTTGCTGCAGAAACCTCCAAGCTACCTGGGGCAGTGCATTCACTCCACAAGGGTTGCAACCTGACTCCCAACCTCCAGGGGCCACTTCCCCTTCCTTTCAGGGTCTGGCCCTGGCCCAGAAACCAAATCTGGACAAGCTAAGAATGCTTTCCTACTCTCTTGTCCACATGTTGTGCCTAGGACTCTTTTGACAGCAGCTCCAGCCAGCCTCCAAGGTACTCAATTAGCAGCCACGTGGCTGGAGAGTCAGGACCCCTTGTTTACTAAGCAGGCCTGGGATACTGAGCTGCAAAGGATGGTAAAGGATGTCAGCAGGGATTGGTGCTGTGTGTAAGGGGCTGCTTGTGCCCACCAGCTGCTCTCTCAGCACCCCAAGCCAATCTGGAGAAGGGCCTCCTCAGCTGGCTTACAAAGCTGTCCAGCAAGTCCCAGAAGGTTTGGATGACTTCAGCTCCCAGCCAGGAAGGGGCCTGCTGGGTTGACAGAGGCAGACATGAACCACACTCATCTCCTGGCTTCCCTTCAGCTCAAGGGTAGTTGCTAGGCAGGCAGCTAGCCCCACCCCATGCTCACCCCCACCCAAGCTGCCTCCAAATCCAAAGACACACCCACCACACAGGGAGGAATGCCCAGCTCCCCTGAGGCTGAAGAAGGCAGTTTTTGCCCAACAAATTCCACATTCCACAAGTGATGAGTCCGTATTCACTTCAATAATGCCAAGAGTGCTCCAAAATGCCCTTGAATTGCCTTTGAGGACAGCAGGGGAGGCCAGTTGATCAGCCCCCAAAATCACAGTGAGAAGAAAGGGGGTGCTACTGGCTGCCTTTCAAACTTCTGGGCAGGTCCCAGCAGTCTGTCGCTGCACCTGGCAGGAAAGTCCTGAGGAAGGGTTCCTACATTGGGAGTTGGGAGGGTGAGGGGAATGGGACCTGGTACCCTGAGGGCCTGGGCAGACCAGATATTCCAGAACTCTGTGGTGGAAGCTGTCAGCTGTGCCTCAGCCTGAGGGCCCTGATCCCAGCACAGCACAGCTGCCTCCAAGTGGCCTCACAAAGAGTAGTTGGGGTGACAAGTGTCACTTCTCTGTGGCTGCCACAATTGACATGAGAGTGAGCCTATAGGCTTTGTAGTGCAGTCAGGATGTCTTCTGGCCAAGTTTAGGTACCCTGCCCTGCCCCCCTGCTCACACAAATGCAGCAGATGCACAGGAATTTACAACCAGAGAGAATGGAGAAGTAAATGCACAGTTGGCAGATGATTCCTCTTTTGGTTTCTGGGGAGACTGGGGCAGGCCTTCTCAGAACCTGCAGTCATGAATTGTTAGGTCTTGTGGAAGCCTAGATCAATTCTGCACCCCAGAAAACAAGTCTTCCCCAGGAAGGCCAACCCAGCCCTGCATACCAGCCCTGAGAAGGCTGTGAGTGTAAGGTGACCAACCGTCCCAGTTTGCCTCAGGACTGAGGCATTTCTCAGGATACAGAACTTTCAGTGCTAAAATCAGTACCAAGAAAAGTAAACCCACTGCTTTCCAGTCATTTCTGAGTCATAGTGACCCTATAGGACAGAGCTGAATTGCCGCATAGGGTTTCCAAAGCTGTAATCTTCATGGAAGCAGACTGTTACATCTTTCTCCTGAGGAGCGGCTGGGGGGTTCGAACAGCCCACTTCTGGTTCACAGCTGAGTGCTTAACAACTGAGCCACCACTGAGCCAGCAGGGCTCCTTAACACCAGGTCAGTCTCAGGCAAACCATGATAATTAATTTCTATACTAGGGGGTAGGGCTGTGGGACAAGGGATTAGTGAGACCAGAGAGAAAGGCCAGGCTGCCAGATCCTTTCCCTGAAGACCAGAAGCTACCTCCTGCCCTCGCAGCTTCTTTCTGCTTTAGTGGACTGTCCTAGCTGCTGAGGACTGTCCACAGGCCAGTCAGGGCTGGGAGTTCTGAAAGATTGGCAATTGGAATGGGGAGGGCGTAAATTAGATCCAGGGGGTGGATCTAGATCTTGTGAGGGCAAAAGCTTACTTCTATAAGGGCCCTCTTTAAGAAAAACTCTATAACATTTCCCAAACCAAACTAAACCCACTGCTGTCACTCTGACCCTACAGACAGACTAGACTACTCCACTGGGTTTCCAAAGCTGTAATCTTTTCGGAAGCTAACTGCCACATCTTTTCTCACGTGGAGCGTCTGGTCGACCTTTCACTTAACAGCCGAGTTCTTAACCACCGCCCCATCAGGACTCATTAAAGCAAGATTACTAATACAAAACTACAACCGGGGGCAGCAACGGAAGGACCCTGCGCTTAAACTTCATTAGTTTCAAGGTAAATCCGCCTCTCCTTGAACCTGGTATTTTGGACTATATGACCCACCTACCCTGGCTAGCGCAGCACTTTCCAAATCGTTAGGCTGGGTGACCTGACTGCGCCCTCTTCAGCTCTGCTAGGGGCGGAAGCAGTGTCACCCATCCGCAGCCATGAAATCTCAGACCTGAAGGACCCCAGGACTATGCTGGTTTGGCTGGCCACCCTCCCTCCGCGGCGGATTGGCGCTGCAGTCCAGAGTCTAAGGGGGGAGCGGGGCGCAGACACTTGGGAAGACTGGGAGACCTGTACCGCCCGGGAGCCCGCGGCGCGGTCTAAGGGGCGCTCGGGTTGCCTGCAAGGCGGGAAGAGTCAATGAGAAAGTTCCCGGCCGGAACGTGCGGCGCTGGCAGGATCGAGGGGGTCCGTGAGACTTCCTATTACCTCTGAGGAACCCCGGGGGCTGAGCCTGGCACTTCTCGACAAATACACGCGCGCACGCGCGCGCATACACACACACACACACACCCGTGCACACCAGCCGCGGTGCTTCCCGGAAACCTCCAACCGGCCGGAGCAGGCCAGGGCGGGCGCGGGAGGCGCTGCCGCCGCGGGCGGAGTGTCCTGTGCAGGGCTCGCGCCACCGCCTCCGCTCCACTGTCCGCGAGCCTCCGGACACTGGCGCCGCGCGCCAGACACCTACCGTCCTCCTGGTCCAACACCATGGTCCCCCGGCGGCTCCAGCTAGGCCCGGGCCGAGGACGAGGAGGGGCGCGCGGCTCGAGATCCCGCCGCCACCGCCTGCCTGCGTTGCTTCCCCGGCCCCGCGCGGGCTCCGCGTTCTGTGAGCCGCGGTCGCCGACCAGCGCTGGCGCCCCAGCGCCTGGAGCGCAGCCCGCCGGGCAGGGAGGGAGGGAGGACCGGCGAGCGGTGGCGGCGCTGGGGGCGGGGGCGCGGCCACACTGGGAGGCGCGGCAGGGCGGCCCGGCGAGTATCGCCGGAATCGCGAGGGCAGCCGTTGCCCGGGCCTGGCCGGAGCCGCCTCAAAGCCGCAGCTGGCGGTGCGGGGCTGGAGCCGGAGCCGCAGACGCGCGCAGATTCTCTCTCCGCGCCGGCCGCGCTCTCTCAGCCGAGTGAAGCCTGCATTTCCCAGGGCCCCTCAGATTCCCCTGTTAATTAAATCAATTCATTATGCTCAGATCTGATTAGCGGCCCTTCCCCCCTTTGAATCAATTATTCAATACACAAACATAATTGCTTGGGCCAGAGGTGCCCGCCATTAGCTTATTTAACTCCAAGGACACTAATTACCCGCAGGGCACGGGAACTTTTCTCATTAATTCTGACAAAACACAAAAGCACAGCCAGAGTGTGTGCGTGTGAGGGACCGTATGTGTGTGTGACCGCATGCCAGTGTGAGAGGCGATGTGGGCTGGTGAGCGACTGTGTGAGCTGTGGATAATACTGGGGGGAGGGTGTCGAATGGGTGCGATTGCGGTGTGGGAGTGTGTCGTTTTGAGTCTGTGAGTGTGAGACAGGGCGTGTGATTGTGAGGGACTGTATGAGTGCATGGGAGCTCTGGTGGCATAGTGCCTAAGGTATTTGACTGCTAACCAGAAGGCTGGCGGTTCAAACCCACCAGCCACTCCTCGGAAGGAAGGTTGGGCAATCTACTTCCGTAGTGATACTGCCTCGGAAACCCAAGGAGGGGTCGCTATGAGTGGGGCCCGACTAGATGGCAGTGGGTTTGGTTTGGTTTGGTTTGGTATGGGTGCATCCGGCTGGGTGTGGCTGTGGATGTGGGGGCTGGAGGCCAGTGTTTGAGACCCAGCACTGGAATGTGTATGAGGTTATGAGAGTGTTTGTGTGTGTGTGAAACTTTGTGAGTCACCCTGTGGCTATTGTGGCAGGTGCTCCCACCTTTTCCTTTTTACATTATTGCCCTCACCATTGCCTGCTGCATGTTCAGACCCACTTGTAAAAGTTCAGACCACAAAAAGAGAAATGAGGAAGGATTAGGAGGCTCTGAGTGGTGCTGGAGCCAGGCTGGGGCACCAAAGCCAGTCAGGACCCAATCATCTCAAGATGAAGGACTCCAGCAGCTGCCAGTCTGATCCCCTCCAACACCTGTTTGTGCCCTGGCTGGAGTTTGCCCATCCCCATGCCCTAGTTACGAAGGCCAGGTTCACATCTCCTCCTCCTTTGCCTTCTCACTGTCCCTCTCAGTATTGCTCCCACTCTCTCCTTTTATCCCAGAGTGCCCCCCCACATATATTTGCACATGTGCCTGACACCAAAGAGTGCTGCCCCCCTTAATCAACTCCCCCCTACACACACACCTAGTTCTTCACCTCCTGTCTGCAGGGCTGTAATGAAGGTGTGCCTATGGTTGACCAACTTCTCCACATTTTACCTCCCAGGAAATCTCTGTTGAGAGAGAGCTAGTGAGAGAGCCCACAGAGGCAGGGACACAGAGGGTAATTGATTCCCCCAAATTAGGTTTCTGCTTTCTAAAGACCAGTATTGTTCCTGTTCTCAATGTGCACAGAGGTATTGAAGATTTCCTTTTTGTTTCCTCGGGCAATGAATGAGCTTAATCCATTTGGCTTTATAAATCAGGAAACTAATATTCGCTCCTTCCATAGCAGCTTTTTAAAATTTAATTGGTGGGGGAGGCGCAGTTAGTCACCCTTATGCTGTCCCCCCCCCACACACACACACACACTTATCAAAATATTTTCTGGTTGGGGGGGCAAAGAGAAGGCTCTTGGGGGGTACTTATCCTGATCTCCTGGCCCTCCTCCATCCTTGCACTTGGACCCACACGGTTGGTATCTGGAAAAGTTTGTGAAATGACTGAATGAATTATATTCAATTCATTGAGGAAAAGGCAGGGAGTGGTATTCAGAGGTGCTCTTTAGAATGATCTTCCAAATTGGCTGCCTTTCAATTCCCCACCAGCCCAGAGCACAGGCGTGGCATGCCCAGGTTTGGCAAGTCCTCCATCCTCCACAGGCCGCTAGAATCATCTTCTTGGTGCCAAGATCTGACTCTGATACTCTTCTGCTCAAACCTCTCTCATGGCTCCCTATTGTCCTGACAGCTTATTTTATTGTGTCAGGCCCTTTAATGTAATTGAGGGAACCGTGGGTGGCACAAACAGTTAAGTGCTTTATTACTAGCTGAGAGGCTGCCAGATCAAACCCACCCAAGGGTGCCTCAGAAGACAGGCCTGGTGATTGCTTCTGAAAGGTCACAGCCTTGAAAACTCTATGATGCAGTTCCATTCTGCACACATGGGGTCTCCATGAGCTGAGGGTGACTCTATGACAACTAACGACAACAAATGTAATTGAACACACCCAATAGGTCTTTACTCCGGTGGTTCTTCTCATAGCATCTCTTCTGTTTAAGAAGACCTGCCTCATCTCTCAAAATCTTGTAAGGAAATAATTCTCTTCCATATTCCTCTAAGTGGGTGTCTCTGTGTAAAGTCTGGGTTTGCTGAAGGGTGTGTGGATTAATTCTTTGAGACCTGGGGAAAAAGGTCAGCTCCTGGAAGCAGAGGGTTTCCTCTGGAAGGGATGACAGATACGGTAGTATCAGGAGCCTATATTGGTCCCTAGAGGAAATGGGAGCTGAGGAGTCAGAGGAGAGAACCTGTTTCTCTAGACTATAGCTTCATGGCTTTCCTACAAGAAAGAAGGCCCAAAAGGACTGACTCTTGGAGCACCATGTTTTTTATCTAAGATCTCAGATAGATGGCATGGGACAAGACTCCAGGAGCTAGACCTCCTTTAGACGATCTCCAAAATCTCGCTCTCTGTTTAGTTCTCTAGGGTCACTGCCTATATTTATGCCAGCTGTTCCATGCCCTAGAGCATCTGGCCAAAGGGGCAAATGGGGACTGAAATTCTGTCCTCTATGCTGTCCATACTATGTGTCCTGGCATGGGCTGCACCCACCCAGAGAGGGCACTTTTTGCCATTTGCACAAAAGCATCATATGGGCTAGCATAGCCCTCAACTGGGTATCTTGAGTTGGCTAGAGTACATACTGGGAGAGGCCTGATTACCTACTGTGCTCTGCCCCACCCTCACCCCTACCAAAGGCATGGGGAAGTTCTTGAAAGACCCACCTCCTAGTTTTCATACAGAAAGATAAAGTACAGAGAACTCAACCATCGTGGAGTGGTAAGGGACACTGAAACAGATGCCCAGACATCCCCATCCTTGAATTTAAATAGGACCCAAAGCCCTGTGAAAGATACTAAACTCAGTTCACAGCTGGGACACAGACATGGACAGATCTGTCATAAGGACTGAGGTCCCCAGTGAAGGCCATGCTAGAGAAGGAAAATGAGATTCCTAAGAGGAGAGCCCCTTGAGTGAGCCAAAGCCAGACTGAACAGCAAGGCCGGGAATTTGGAGGGAGCAACAGTTTTATGCACAGCACAAGAATAGATCTGGCCCATTCTTGATCAGTGCTCTAAAAAGAGGGCAACAGTATAAACAAAGGAAGTGGGTCACTAGGGGCCTACAGCTTAACTATAGAAACCCCCTCTGAAACAGCTGGTCACTAGACGCAAAAGGTAACTCTCTGCTGAGATGAGAAGGAAACGAGCAGCAAGGGTCAGCAGCTTGGTGGAGTTGGCAGCAGCTTGTGGATAGAATGGACAACAGTCAAGCAAGATAGCAAGAGCAGCAGGCAGCAGCTCTAATGATATGGGAGGCATCTATACCCTCAACCCTTCAACCTCTACCTCTAATCATGGGATTATTACAGAGAGAATGACTTTATCCAGAACTCAAAAGTTAGTGATTTCCAGAGGGTACCTGGGTTATATGTATAAGCATTTCTGGAAGGTTTTGCAAGAGGAAGGTGTTTGGAGAGTAGGATCCTGAGTCAGAAAGCAGAGCATCAGAATTTGGGTCTAATTATTGTAAATGTGTGAAACTGTATGGACTTTACATTCCAATTGGTCTTAGCTGAATCCTGGGCATGCAGAGAAAAGCCATGTGAGCAAAAATGGGCCAGAATAATAGTAGAGGAGTAGCCCCATGGCCATAGAGCTCTGGTGGTATAGTGGTTAAGGCATATGGCTGCTAATCATAAGGTCAGTAGTTCGAAACAACCAGCTGCTCCACTGGTGGCATAGTGCCTAAGACATTTGACTGCTAACCAGAAGCCTGGCCACCAGACACTCCCGAGATGGAAGGTTGGGCAATCTAATTCCATAGTGACACCGCCTGGGAAACTCGATGGCAGTGAGTTAAGTTTAAGCCAGCCTTGTCTGGTAGTAATGGCACTCAGAAGGAAATGCAAAGGGTACTACATGGATGTCAGACACTAAAGGCTTTACTCCGACTGCTCTTCTCCACTTGGAGAGCCTCTTGAAGCCACACTTGCTCTCCATTGCTCCTGAACTACTGTTTCATTTCTCTTCTCTTCTCCCCCAACCCTCCCGTCCCCCAGCCCCATTATAGTCTCAGCAGATGAGATGCGAGAAGGCATCATGAAGGAGGCCTCCCTGCTTCTGCCTCCAGGTCTAGGCTCCTACCTTCACCAGCAGTGTCTATAACAAGCACCTAGTCACATTCCCCTTCCCTCCTGAACGTTAGAGAAACACTTCCTCCTACCCAGACCTGATTCCTCAGTGTGTGCTCTGGTCCATCGGCTTCCACCTTTCAAGGTGCCCTGTGTCTCTCCTCATCCCTTTACGATAGCCTCATTCTACTAGACCTTTCACAGCAGCAGATAAACAAAGTCTGTTATCTCATCTGAAAACAAAGAAACAAATTCCCAGGACCCCCCATCTTCCTTGAGTTATCTTGCTATCTACTCTCCTTTATTGCTGCTTTCCCACTCTCTCCTCACCCACTCTTATCTGGCTTTAACCTCCACAAGGCTTATCAAGGATACCATGACCTTGATGCAATTAAAGGACTGTTTTCAAACCTCATCTTGCTGATCTGTCAGCATTTAAAGCAGTTGGGCATTCCTTCTTTCTCGAACATTTTTCTTCCTCAGACTAACACATAAGGAGCTCTGGATGGTGCAAATGGTTAAGCACTGGACTACTAACTAAAACGTTGGTGGTTCAACCCATCCAGGGGTGCCTGGGAAGACAGACTTGTGAT